TATCTTAAACTACTCAAGCTCTTAAACTACTCTATGTTTCACATTTCAAAAGCTCATCTTAAGAGAAACCAGAGTTAGGAGGGTTAAAAAAACTGGGTAAGGGGTTGGTTTTTTTGGATCTAGTGAATCACTAGTTTGTTCGATTTCCATGTTAATATTATTATCAATACTTGTGTTGATTAAGTTGTCGGAGGTTATTTGTTGTGTTCATTTGTTTTACTTGCGGAGAACCGCTGGCCGATGTAATTTTTTTTTTTCATTGTTGTTTGAAATGTTTGTTGACCAGTCGGTAAAAGAAATAATGGATGTAAATTTTATGTACATTTTATGTAAAAATTAAGATTAAAATCAATGATAAAAAAAAAACAACTGACATAAAATATACACTAAATTAAATTTAAGGAAAAATGTATAAAAGGAACCAGAGTATCAGATTAGTACTATTTGTGTTTTAAACATACATCAGTGAATCCATAATATCATCATAAATTGCACACTGTATAGCTATATAAGTTCATCAGCAACCAAAATTATGAACTTTCCATTTCAACAGGTAAGTTTCACTACCAAAATTAAAAACATTTTGTTGATTTTGTACTTTATGTAGTTATTCTTTACAAGACACTTAAGTTGGCATTAAATATCTTCTGTTAAAACCAATTTTTTTTAAAGAGTTTCATTGCCTCAAATATTATATTTTTTATATTATTCAAGGATTAAAGTTTAAACTTAAGACGTATAGAAAGATTATTATTACCTTAAGCAATACTCAACGAAACGTCAAATTTTTAAAATTATAGCAATCATTTCACGCCTTAGGTCACTTTCTTAAATACAAAATGTTAAAATATATATTTTTGGTATTATGTTTAAATTGTATTGTGCCAATAAACATTGTAAGTTAGTTCAAAATGTTAGACAAAGGATTTTTGAGACACTATAAGTTTTTTTGACTTTTAGAGAATGGGTGTTATTTTATAACGCTTAACTATTAAATCTTACCAGTAGTTTTAACTTATTGTAACTTTTAAAATTTAAACCGGAACCTCTATATTTTTTGGGATATTATTTAAGTAAATAATATTTTAAACCCAAAAATGTTAAACGACTTTTTTATAACATACTGTTCAAAAGTTATTGTTATTTAAAGTTTAAGTTGGTGATGTATATAACGAAGCATTTTTAGAAATATTCAAATCAGACAATCAGATTATAATTTAAAATGTAATGTATAATATGCCTTTTAAAATGTAATCAGTCGATAAAATAGTTTATCACATATGAACACTATTGTATAATAGTAATAATATTTTGTAACAGGTAACCCTGAATCAGCAAGCTCGACCGTGTCAAAATATATTCATAGCTATAAATGCTAAGTGTCTGTCTAGGCGAAGAAAGTCTTATTACCTTTAATCATTTCTACCGTCTTCTTCTTTACTGCAATGTATTAAAATAGTTAATATTTATAATATATTTAAATTGATTGAAGCCATAAAAAAAATTATAAGTTAAAAAATTCCAATTCATACTTCGCTTAATTTACAGATATATTCTGTGAGCTATTTTTAATACATTTTACAAAAGATATACAAACTAAAGTAAAACGCAACGAAACTCGGTAAATGTCGAAAAGTCGGTGATCTGTAGATATGAATCGCTGGTCAACCAGACTATCACAAAACATTTGATTGTGTTTGGTTACCTGTATACTCACCTATCGGACAATGCGATCATAAATAAGTATTTTATTGGCTCCCGGTCTTCGGAAACCAAAGAAATGTAATAATATTTAAGAGAAAATTTAATATCTTTACAAAGTCATAGCTAACGACTAGATGGATAAAAATAAAAAATTCAAACGATAACAAAATTTAAAAATTTTTGCCCACAAATTTATGGAATTATAAACATATGTCGCCATTTGAAAACGTGAACTAAACCCTTTTTATCGTATAAGGGATGGAGATAAACATTTTCAAAGTATTGAAAAACATAGTAAAACGTTTATCAAAAAGTATAGGAAAAAAATAATTTTCAAAATATTCATATTTCCGAGAAATGATGTCTTACGTTAGTTGGATGACCCGGTACAAATGATATCGATATGTAAGTTTATTAAGATATTATAAGGAACCAATTTATGAGAAATTTACTATTTGTGTTTCAAACAGTAAAACAATAATACCATTATATGAATAATACATTTGGCTAATTTTATTACTCTCATTGTATTCTAAAATAATGCTTATCTTTTGAAAATCCAAAAAGTCATAAAAGTTGTTGTTTGAAAACAGTAGTATAATTAAGAAGGTTTCAAAGTCGTTATGTACAATAAATCGTACATAAATGGGGGAGAAAAAACAATTTTTGACAGGCAATAATTAAAAATGGAAATATGATTGAAGCGTAATTTAATAAGGAACGCTAATTTAAATTCAAATAAAAACATATAAATGGTTAAATCAATATATAATTATGCTGTTTATGCAAAAAAGTCAATTTTGAAAAAATTGTCGCATACGCCCTTTTACCTTCTAACCATCGAAATGTTAAGCGAATTTATGATACTGTACATACATTAAAAAATTTTTTGCTTTTTAAAGTTTATGTTCGTGCTGTATATTGAAGCATTTTTTAGAATATTCAAGTCAGTTAATCAGATTATAATTTAAAATGTATTATATTTTATACACATTCACTATTCTGGAGTTTTAAAAAATTAAGAATTCTCATGGAATAACTATCTTTAATTTAAAAGTACAAACACACAATAACAAATTTAATAGTGTTACCTTTAAGTTATTTAAAAACAAATAAATATATTTAGGGTTTAAACTGTATATAAAATGTGTTGAAAATCAGTCCAAAATAAAAATGATATAACAAATATAATACCGAGAGAAAATCTGTAAAATGATATCAGTAACCTTAATGATCTTTCCAAAGAACATAAAAAATAACAACAGTCCATATATCATTTATATTTACACTGGAATATTTATTTCGATTTTTTGTATCTTAAAAGATACATCGCCAAGTTAAGGGTTGAATTTATTCACACAAATTATATTTATGTAATTAAAATTATGAGTATTTTTTGTCTGTAACCTAAAAATTATAATAATAATATTATAGCCCATTATTATCATGGTTAGTTACCATCATAATCCTAATTTTTTTTAAAAATAATTTTGATGTGATTATAATAAGGATTGAGTTAATTATATATAAATTATATGGTGGAAAGCTTAAAAGTCATTGATGTGGTTTTTTTACAACAGTATTATACCTAGAGTGTTTCAAATTAGTTATGGGAAATAAATAATACAAAAACAAGGAAAAAACATAAAAAAAGTTGATTGCCATGTAATAATTGAAAGTGAATAAACTAATGTTAAAATTAGTGTGAACACAAATTAATAGCCATACATGAATAATATATTTGGCTCATTACTTTTGTGTTTTAAACTTCCATTAGTGAAATCAAAATATCATTACAGAGTACATAGTATTATTTTGTCGGCTTCCAAAAACATGATTCTTTTATTTCAACAAGTAAGTTTCACTACCAATTTAATGTTTGAGTGCTTATTTGTGTTTCAAACTTATAATAGTGAAACAATAATAATATCATTAAAAAGTACATAATATTATTTTATTTTATACCTATATTATTTCATCAGCAACCATAATATTCCTTTGGTCTCTATCTTGAGTACATAATGATAAAATATGTTTTATTTATGTTATATTTAGATTGATTTGAGCCATATAACATTGTAAGTTAAATATTTTCAATTCATATTTTTCTTAAATTTCAGATTTTTAATATGAGTTATTTTCAATCCATTATACTTACTATCCTGTTAGTTATATCGATAGTAATTATTCAAAGGATAAAAAACCAAAGACAAATTACTTTGGCTGCTCAAATACCTGGTCCAAAAAGTCATTTTATTGTCGGAAGCCTACCGACTTTTACTCAAGGAACAGAAAAGTTCTTAGAGAATATTAAACGACTATGTAAGATGTAAGTTATCGCGAATAAGCATGTAAAGTTTTGTGGTATTATGTTGTCTAATTACTGAAAACATTTTTAAGTTAAAATACAACTGATACGTGTGTAATCTAATTTGTTAAATATTAGAAAGACGACATAGTGAAACCAGCTTATAATTATGCAAGATGTAAATACTTGTAGTTAACATGCATTTATTTTGTGGAATAATGTAGCCTTAAGCCAAACAAAAATCAAATTTCGACATAATTAACAATTTCAACTATTATCCATAAAATCTACTTAGTTTTCAACTATACTTTATGTATTGGAGTTTTAAAAACAACATAGTAAAAACAAACACGTTATTGAATATAAACACGAAATTTTTAATTTTATATAAAAACTTTTCAACGAAATTTTATGATCAATTTGGGAATAGTTAGTTTTTTCTGTAGAGTATTTTATGTGGGACATTAACAAAAATTACATGAGAATCACATATGTACTCCAGAACGTTAAGATAGAAACTATTCATATAAAAGAAAGGAATCCTTGACTGTTATTATTTTGTGAATTAATTAAATTTGTAACATAAGTACTTATAGAAAAAATTAAAAACAAGCTCATTATGTTCAAGGTACGAGCATTCATTATTTAAATTTTGGTTATTTAACAAGCTGATTGTTTGTTTATCCAACGCCGATGATATAGAAGTAGTAATGAAAAGTTCAAATTGTTTTCAAAAGGATTTCCCTTATTTGTTAATGGAAGACGTTTTCTCGATTAAGGGATTAATTACAAATAATAATATACATGACTATAAAAGAAACAGGTAAATTATTGTTATATATAGTATGATATTATAGTTATAAATATTTTGTAAGAAACAAATAGAACATACTGTTCCTATTTAAAAAAGATGAATAATTTATTAATAAAACGTACGTTATTTAGGAAAATAATATCGCAATGGTTAAAGTATTCAAATTTAAAATCAATGATAACTTCTTTCTACGATGAATCCAAAATTCTTGCACACATATTGAGTGAAAAGAGTAAAGGAAAACCATTTGAACTTGAAATAGGCCGCCTTTTCAACCTAGCGTCGATGGACACTATTGGGAGAACAGCGCTGGGAGAAGAATTTAACTCACAAAACCAAGAAAACCATGATTTCCAAAAAAGTTATGAACGTATAGCAAAAGTAAAACTTTTTTTTCTTCATTTTTGTAGTAACATAAGAACATTACACGGAACTAATATCCGCTAAGAAGATTATTATTTTTACATTTTAATTACAGATGTTTGCATACAGACTTTCGAATCCATGGTTTTTATTTTCGACTTTTTTTTCACTGTCATCAAAAAAACATGAACAACGAAATAGTCAACATTTAATGCGTAAATTTCTAAATGACTTAATTCAGAAAAAACAAGTCGAACTCAATGAAAAAGCGAAAACTACAACTACAACTCAAAAACCTATATCCCTAATTGAAATTCTATTAGCAAGCGAACAACAAATATCACCTAAAGAAATACGGGACGAACTTATAACCATTATTAGTGGTAAGCATTATATTTAAATTCTATAGCTGTAAAAAGTTTTAACAATGTTTTCAAACTAATTTTTTAGTTAAAAATTTCGGTATTTCAATGATGTATTATTTACTACTTATGTCATTAAATACATCATAAAAAAAATTTACCTCATTCTCTTCAAAGTCAAAAAATCACTGCTTTTTATCTAAGAATTTAAACATGCTACATTTAAAAAAATATAAAATATAATTTCCAAAATTGTAAAAGAAATTCTACTAAGTAACGTTATTTAAATGTATTTTATTTTTAAGCGGGACATGAAACAACTGCAAAATCAAATTCATTAATTATATTTATGCTGGCTCATCATCAAGATGTTCAAAAAAATGTAATTTTTTCTGAAATAAATTACAATTCCATATTTACTTTAAACAAACTATTTAATTTCGACCCTAGGTATATCAAGAAATAAATTCAATATTTTCGGCTGGCGATTTCAACCGATCACCTACACACGATGATTTACAGAAAATGGAATACTTAGAACGTGTAATTAAGGAAACCATGCGACTTTATCCAACTGTACCCCTAATTACCAGAAAAGTAGAAAACGAAATGATGATTAGGAAATATGTTATCCCGACAGGTAGAATATTATAAGAAAAATAAGTTTTTTAAATTTCATAGCTAAATGGTGATTAAGTCATAGTAATCGAATATTATTATTTTATAGACGCAAATATTCTGATTTGTATTCAATGTTTGCATTTAAATCCCAAGTACTATAAGGATCCAGAACAATTTAATCCTGACAACTTCTTACCTAACGTGTGTCGCCGTCGTCATCCTTTTGCGTACATTCCTTTTAGTAGTGGCTCAAGGAACTGTGTTGGAATGAAATACGCAATGCTTCAAATGAAGACTGCGATATCTACTCTTGTAAGGTCCTATCGGTTTTCGCCTTCGGAAAAATGCCTTACGCCGAAGGATCTAAGATTATCTTTCACTCTATCAGTGGAATTTATCAATGGATGTAACGTTAAAATAGAACCGAGAACATAATAGCTTGGAATTTAAATGGTTTAGGTGCGTTTTGTTCAAGTAATTAATTAAAAAATAAATTGTTATGTACTGGAAAATGTTTTGGTGTAAAAAAAAACACTGGGTTATTATTGGGTTATTATTAACACTGGGTATTATTTAACTCCCTTTCATATAATATTATAATGGTATTTTTTATTAAAAATAGCAAATAAATATGTATCTTAATACTTTTCGTGTTCATTATTTATAGTAGTTAGGCATAGCTCTAGAGTTTATCTGTGGATGTTACGTTAATATAGAATCAAGATCGTATTGAGTAATTAAAAATATTTAGATATGTTTTAATTAAGGTAGAATTTACTTTGATTGTTTACTGTTTTAAAACAAAATTGAAATACACTATGTTCTTTTAATAACATAATAATACACAAAAAACAAAACTCTTTGTGGATCATAAATCATGTATTACTAATTAAGTAGTGTTTTGTTTCTTAGTATATTTTTATTAGCTTTGAATATTGTATGATAGGGTGTAGTATGTATACTTTGTCAATTTAATTTTTTATTTCCACTGTTTCTCCTTGATTCAGACATTTTAACGACATATTATTTTTAATATAAATGTAAATATTTTATCCTAAATTTAATGTAATATCTTCGTTAAATTTTGATAACTCGAATCAATTAATTTAGCTAATCTTGGAAGCTATTGTTTGAAAATGTGTTATTCAAAATTACCCAGTAGGACATTTTTTCATAATATTTATACCATAATTTTTAAATTAATTAGCATTTCAAAAACGTTTCGTAATAATACACATTATATTAGATTAATAATACAACGTAATTAAGAGAGTTAAAAAACCGTGGGAATTGGTTCGTAAAAGTTACACTTACATTGCTGGAACTTAGCCTGCGCACAAACGTGTGGTCTGTTTTAATTATTTAAATAAAACTAATTTATAAATGCCATTGTTATCAAATCCATTTTAATTTGACCTTAGCTAAAAACAAACATTATGTTTAGATAGATAATGTTAGTTTTCAACCTTCATTACTTTATTTAAATATGCATTTATAATTTGTACATATTAAGTATATTTACTGTTAATATTATTCCAACTCATTTTAAAATCATTTTCAATAGTATTATAATACTTAATTGTTCTTATTCTTAAGATGAGGCATCATTAACCATCTAAATGCATATATTTTATTTTGTATAGGTATATAAAAGGTTTTGGTATTTAAATTTACTGTTTTTTTATACTCGGATAAAAATAATTCCACCCTTCCACCAGACATAAATTTTAATTTTAAATAACTTTTAAAGTAATTATCCAAAATTTATTTTCAACCACTAAACTTCCAAACTGTCGCGATTTAAGAATCATGTTGGCGGTTGAGCCGCGGTTTAACACCACTACTTATTATGGCCTAAAAAATGTATTACTTTTGTTCGCCTATTTAGTTGATAATCGATCAACTAGAGAACAGCGATAGTTACACGGCTGACCTCACATGTTCAAATGCATTGCATTCAATAAAGGCTTAAAGGCCTAAGGCGACCTAAAAATATCGTAAAAGAATCTTAAATTTGAAAAAGAATAATACATATACAATTATGTTTAAATTTTTTAAAATAACTTAAAGGTGTTTAAATTTGTTATTGTGTGTTTGTACTTTTTTCTAAATTAAAGATAACTTTAAAAACTACACAATTGTGTTTAAAACCTAATACATTTTAAATTATAATCTGACTGTCTGATTTGAATATTTCTAAAAATGCTTCATAAAATACATCACGAACATAAACTTTAAATAGCAATAAATTTTGAACAGTATGTTATAAAAAACTTTTTTAACATTTGTGTATTTAAAATATTATTCGACTACAGAATATCCCAACAAATTTAGGGGTTCCCATTTTAAATTTTAAAAGTTAATACCATGCTTGCGCTAACTACTTATACTATGATTTTAGATTGAAGCGTTAAATGTGCCTAAAATAAAACCTACAGATGTCCAAATATCGGAATTTGAAAAATTCAAAATCAGCTCTAAAAATTGGCCGTTTTCTTTGTGTTTTAAATAACTTACAATGCAATATGGCTAAAATCAATTTAAATATAATACAACAATTTTTTTTTAATATTAGGTATTTAAAAACGTGACATAAGGCATGTTATGATTTAAAAATTTTGAAAATAGGTGGAGTTTTATTGAGTATAGTTTATAGGTAATAATAATCTTTTTACCCGTTTTAAGATTAAATTTTAATACATTTATAATGTTGACGATATCATATTTGAAGCTATAAAGCACTGTCGAAAAATATAATTTTTAATTAATATCAGATGCCTACTTTAGTGTCTTGTAAAGGTAAACTACATAAAGTACTAAAACTTATTAAAAAAAAAAAAAAAAAAAACGTATTTAATGGTTTTTAATTAACTACAGGTGATATTTAATACTATCTTTAGTGTATTGTAAAGATTAACTACATATTTATTTTTTGTAGTAAAACTTACTTGTTGAAATGGAAAATTCATGTTTTTGGTTGCTGATGAAATTATATAGTTATATAATTTTACGGAAATATATAATTTTCACGTTTCGTTGAGTATTGCTTAAAGGTAATAATAATCTTTCTACCCGTCTTAAGCTTAAACTTTAATCCTTGAATAATGTAAACAATATAATATTTGAGGCAATGAAACTCTGTAAAAAATACGGTTTTAACAGAATATATTTAATGCCAACTTGAGTGTCTTGTAAAGAATAACTAAATAAAGTACAAAATCATTAAAATGTTTTTAATTTTGGTAGTGAAACTTACTTGTTGAAATGGAAAATTTATGTTTTTGGTTGCTTATGAAATTATATAGTTATACAGTGTGTAAATTCCTACAATTCCTTAAATAGTAAATTCCTGGTATTCTTGTTCCTTCTATACGTTTTTCTTAGAATTTAATTTTCTATATATATTTTATCAATAAATTTTTATTTCCATTGTTTTTCTTCGATTCAGTCAGTAGTTGAATGTACATATTTAATATGTACATTACACATTACATACAGACATGCTGTCAGTACGCGGTTTGAAAACACAACAATGAGCTAACTTTAATAACATTAAAATTGCCTTAATACTGATGAATTTATCAAATAAATTGGCACGTGTAAAGACATCTCAACTATAAAAATTCTTTTGATAGAGGTAATTTACCCGAATCGAGTTTCCGAAAAAGTCACAAACCAACTATTGTAAATACTAATGTGAATTAAATTAAGATAAAAATTAATGAAGGGAAAGTTTCAACATTATTACGACACGACTTGATTCACGGTCTTATTATTATTATTATTTTCGAAATGAATTGGATATAGTTCGTTTCTAACTTCTTAGTTTTTTCCTTTTGTTTTTTCACTTTAGTATCTAATCGGTTCAACTCGAGTACGACAGTGATTGTAAGGTCCAACAGTGCCTTTTTCTGACATATGTCGTCCGAGTTCAATACGAGCTGATCGAAATTAGCATCTGTCAGCTCAACGACATCATCGCCAGAATAAGATTTCTTTGACGGTTATTATTCAACTTGTTTACTAGTAAGTATTTAAATATTGTAATACTCTCCGGAGAGAAACAATGCGCGAGAAAAAATAAATTATAACATCAGACATTCATAATGTTTTAGCTTTGATTAGCTTCGGGACGACGGCCCAGCCCCGTAAAAAGCACATTTTAATTTATAAAATTCCACTTCTTATTTTTACATCACCAAATTTTAAGTATGAATGTATTCAAGATTGTTCGACACAATCCTACACCAGCTTTGAAGCATCATTTGTGCTGCAACTTAGTTCAGTACGAGCTGATCGAAATAATTATCATCTGTACATTTATCTAATCTTGTTTTAAACGCTTCCGTTTCACGTGTAATTGCGTCTACTCTTTTTGTGGTCCCAACATTTTCTTTTGATAATACATTGACTGATTTCTTAAATTTTCTCTTTTATTGGAATATAATTATAAATTAGTACCTACGAACAATGTAATAAGAATATTAACAAAATATAGGTACCACTGCAGTCGGCTCTTGTCCATTTTTTTATTGTATTTTTTCATAACCTCAAGAGCTGAGTGTGATAATATCTTGCCATTCGGAAAAACATTTAAACATTTTCTAATAATTTTTTGGCTAGAAGTCTTTATATCCTACAAATATTACTTCTTGTTAATTGACCAAATGATTTAATACCGCACCGATTTTATTATCGGCGATGCAGTTTGCTTATAAGTGAAAAAAAGATAACTCATATAAATAAACATTGTCAACACACAAAAGGTAAAGTGGTTACTTGGTTAAGTAAGGTATAACTCCGTGTAGCGAGATTGTACCAAAATCAAGTCCAATATCTACATATGCGTAAATCATATTTCTCTTTTACATTTGAATAATAGTTCATCGATCATTCAACGAACATCAATCATTGTACCTTTTCAGTGTCGTCTTGTTATTTGTTCAAGTTTTTCCAAAAAATTCAACCTACCTACTTACCGTTACATACAAAACTATTGTAGCTGTAAAAAGTGTTTTGCATTGCCACGATTTAACGACTATTCAGTCTATACAACATACTTCGTAGTGGGCAGTTATAGTTTTGTGAAAAGTATTAGGGTCCATATTAAAACTCATATCATTTGATCGCGAGGAATATAAGCTAAAAAAATGTTTTTGTTCCAAATATGTGTTATTGCACTATGCGGTGTTCGCCATTGCCAAACGACGATCACATTGGAAATCATTCGAAATTTACAACGAACCGAGTGGAAATTTATGAGTTTGGTGTTTTCGGGCACTACGTGCTATGCTCAAGAGCCCGGACAGCCGCGGATAAGTTGTGTTAGTATCCCGAACGTTTTGGTGGATTATGAACAATACGAAGTGATACCACCTTTTACGGTTACTGGAGATCTGAGCTATAATATTTTGTTCACTGGAAATTCGCTGGCAACCGTTTTACAATATACAGACAGTTATATGGCTTTTATACGGCAATCTTATAGCGGTCCAGCCGTAAATCAGCCATTGTACACTGTGATGGAGCAGTGTATGGACAATGCGAGTTACGTCGAGGCATTTATTCGGCTTATGAACGTGATCGAAAGTGTAGGCGTTTCTACGTTGGGTAGAATATGTCGTATATCAAGTTTTATAATAGAGACTAAGTCGAAACGGAAGGCGGTTGATCTTCACTTAAAAATGATCGATCCTGTAATAGAACACATTAAAAACAAGTTTAAACGTTATTTAATATCGACCGAATCGGTGCGTCAAATGGAAGTGGCCATCGAAGTATTAAGGATGGACACGAAGACATTAGTAGCAAAAATAGGAAGGAAAGAAATGACGACATTTAAAGCACGAAAAGGATTCTTCAATGATGTATGCATAGAGTTTAATCAACGATATGTCAACATGATGGACTTAGTGGATACTGGCATATATGCGAACATGTATAGTGTATCGAGTATCTACAAAGCCAAAGAAGAATTCGAACGTATCTTAAAGAGTGCAGACCAGTACTTCACAAATGAAATGGACGCTGGACCAATCGACGATGGTAACGAACTAAATGTACAAAATCAACTCCAAAATGAATGTATAAAATTTAATATTTACAGGTAGCATCGGTTTAGGTTAAAATCAACACACACGTTTTTTAACAAATGACTTGAAAAATGTATAAAAATAAAGCTTGCATACATATATATGTATAAGTAATTGTAATAGTATTATATTTGACCTCAAAATGTTTGCTAAAAATTCCTTGTGTGTTATCTTTTAATAAAAATCCATGTAATGAATATGTATATGTATATGTAGTTAAACATATATATATATATTTTCCTTATAATATTTGTATAATTATTATATTATAATTGTTCGCTCAAAATGGTTTTCGTCAGTTAACAAAATACAATTTTCCTTTTTTTTTTTTTTTTGGTTCTCCTAATGACTTAATGTTTGATTACAGAACTTTGATAAAAAAAGTGATATGTATACAACGTAATAGCTCCATTGTAACTTTGCTTTGAACATATCATTTATCTGACCGTTAACATTACCTGATTATTGATTATTTTTAATGTAGTTTAAACCAAATACATTCAATGTATAAACCAGCACAGCAAGAAAGTACCAAAGTCAAGTTCAGTATCCACATATTAGCAAACACTGCCGCAGTGACCGCTAAAGTAGCATAATCTACCATACTAAATCAAGTGTTTTTTTTTTACATTTTAATAATAATAATAAAAACTTTGAACGCATTTCCAAATGCTTGGGTATTATCACCTTACGGTGAAAACAACACATTATTAAAATATAGGTCACCCAAGTCAAACATTGCATCTAAATCGTTTTGTTATTCATTCCGAGTTTTTCTTAAAAAAATATATAAACAGAAATATACCTACTAGCAAAAATATTAGCGTTAAAAACATATTTGATGTAACTGTAAAATGTGTTTTGGATTACCACGCAAGTT